CAATAAAGAAGACGACTAGTCCTGAACTAACCAGAGAGTTTGGATGGGTTCCAAAAAACGCAGTGAAGGATGACCTTGACGGTTTCAGTTACCGTTTGCACGAAAGGAAAGAAAAGCTGTGGCTTACATATCCACATCAAATTGAAAGCGCTGGTAGTTTTCAACCCGTCGGGATAGGACAGCTAGTGGCGTCTCGGACTTCATAAAGCGCGAATCCCACACGTACATCTGCAATAGAATGAGGATAAGCACAGAGGTCAGAGAAGCACCAAAAATCGGATGAGTCTGCATTGAACTATTGACGTTTTCAAGCTCTGCGATCGCCACACAGATATGTTGCTAGTACATAAAACTACCAGTGCATAAAGCAATTCTCTGTATTTCAAATCATTCAACTCGTGAACAACAGCCGTGGCGAAATGACTTAGAGATTTCAAACATAACCCAGCTCATTCAGTTCACGGCACTACTTGCCAACACCTCTTTGATAGCAAAGCGAGCTACGAAAGCGCAAGACTCAAGCTTGTTGAGAGGATAAATTTTCGTCCAATAAAAGCTGCAACAGTTGCCTGTCAGGGAAAACGAACAAAGAAATTTGTGCACAATCGCACTGAATTTCGCCTCAACAAAAAATAAGGGTACAAGTGCAAATCTCTTCTACGGCAGACCGACTAACAACTGTTAGTTCGATCCACGTTCAACTTCCAGGGTTGAGTGTGAACTTACAGAAAATTTAAAATACATCAATCAACTGTAGGACAGTGGCCTGAGCTACCGTATAATCCCAAGTGATGGGGGATAAAATGATGACTGGGCACACTATCACACCGACCAAACATGAAGGTGAAACACACCAGTACAGAAAGCAATCTGCCAACAACTTGTAAACCATCGTAAAAGGTTTCCACCTATTACATTCTAGTGCCAAATGGATGAGGCAAAAGTCAAGCAGGAGGTAACCGTGATTTGTCCAATGAATTTAACATTAAAAAAAAGGATGGACATACTGTTCCATCCGAACGGCCACCAGCGATGAGATACCAAGGCACAACCCCAGAAACCGGAGTGACAAATTGGACTTGACTGATACCCCTTCGAGGTCCTTGAAGGATGGGCGAGACGGCCTCACCACCCCCCAACTCCGAGTAGACGGCTACAGTACCACTGAAGGTGCCTACTGCGTAGATATTTTCAGTAGCCCCGCCAGAAGCATTAAACAAAGGCGCTGACAATGCCGAGAATACTCCACCTTGCTTTGACCGTTCTGCAGAGAAAACAGTCCATCACACTCATAATCATATTTCTCTACTTCGGTAAGGAAAGTACATCCCCTTCGACCCACGACAACCTAGAGGTAAGAAGCAAGGCTGCAATAATCGATTTTTGCCGTTTTTTTCCCAAAAAGTTAACTCACGTCCTAATGGTGGTCGACGTTCCGAGCTAGCGTTAGGTCTATCGACATAGAAAATCTGTATATAACGGCGGAAGCCGCAGTACAATAGTCTGCCATCTGAGGAAAAAGCGACACTTTGCGGTGATGTGAACTCTCCCTACAATAGAAAACGTACAGCTTTGAAAGTGACGAGAATTGTGGAATATGCTTTATTTTGGAGACTTACTAAATGGTTATTGGGCAGGTAGGTGGCTCTTTGAGAGCCGTCGTAAGCGTCCCATAGACGAACTGGCATTCGTCTACCAGTACTTACAAAACTAAAGAAACATACATCATAGTGAGTCAGGGTGTAGTTAAAGGGAGAGTTCCATTTATGCATCTTACAAGCAGGTGGGAGGATCGTCAGATCGCATATATGGAAACCAGCAATAGTCGTAAACGAGTTCACATTCAGGCATTCGCAGCACGACAGGCTATTTGTGAGAGATAGACGAAGTAAAGTTGGCAGACAACTTACAATCTCTGCGCTCAGCGGATCCGTGTCGATACTAAGTTTCTCATCGCTACTCTCCACAGCTGGTGGAAAGTCAAACAGTCGAAATACATTGTCAAAGCTGAGAGTGAGTAGGCAGCACCCATCTGGAGACCTAAATGAATGAATAAATAGCGAATCGGCGCAAGTGAACATTCCATTGGGACCAATGCAAGACGCTCACCACTTGCACCCACGAAGGTAGTTATTGTGCAGACGCGTCCCATGAGAATCACAAGAAAACTCTTTATTAATTGTCGCGAAGAGCTTTGGCTTAGAAAAAGTCCAGTCAATAACATAATCTGCAAAGCATAAATTCATGACCTGTATGAGACAAGATTTCCCTACTTAATTAGCATCACAAACCAACCTTTCCAATAATCCCCAGATATTTTATCCACGGACTCCTCTGCCGTCTCAACAGGCTCTTCAGTGAGTGACTCGCTCATCAGAGCATCAGCATCGTAAGGTTTTAAACGGGGACTAGAACCATCACATAGAATTAGAGAAGTTTCACTAGTGTTTTCTTTTGCTACCATTACAAAAGACTCAACCAGTTCAGTAGTAGTCTGTGATTCTGAAATCTCCCTCGAAGCCGATTCAGTGGTTTCTTTTGAGAGCTCCATATCAACAATTCCTGTTTCAAGGCAACAACTCTCCCCAGCTTCGGTCTTTGAATCCTAAAAAGAGGATGAAGCGCTACTTATGTGAATTAAGGCAGTAGTCTCAACCAAAAGGAAAGAGAGAAAGAAAAGATGGATGTACTAAAGAGAAATTGTGTACAGTTAATCTATTCTAACAGTAAATGAGGAGCCACATGAACACCCTTTCTCAGACTGAGGATTGTGAATTATTCGAAAACCGGATCTGATTAACTCTTCTTCGTAATCGAGTTTAGAACCCTCGAGGAATTGCATCGATTGAGGATCGACAACAATTTTCACACCGGAATGTTCAATGATGCTTGAGGAGACGTTAGATAAACCACGCTTACATATCGTCATTGCTCAGCTTTTTGTCAACTTCATACTTGTACTGAAATCCGGCGCAGCCACCACTGTCCACAACAACTCGCAATAAGCCATGGTTCTCTCCAAGTTCTCTCAGTTTCTAATAAAAGGCCATCACTTCCTACAATATTTAGACTAACTTTCACACAGGATGACGAAAATATTATTTTACTGTTTACAGTAGACAACAATGCGATTTGCACAATCGAACCTACTCTATGAAGGACTGGACACGGCCCTAGCATTAGTGCATGCGACTTAGGCTCAAGTGTAATCGATCGAACCGCATTGACTTCGGATTGCGGGCTAAACTATGGACGACTAAAACAATGAACCTAGTCCTTAAAGAATTTATGTCATAATACCACATCTATAGGAATTTTCGTGCAACTCTATAACAAAAAACTTGACTTACATGGAAATAGAAGGACGGTCAATGCCATCTTAGATGAAGTACCTTCCGATCCACTGTAAGCCAGCCTCGAGGTACTTCATAGACTTCACTTTCGTGATTAAGCCCAGTGCCAAATTATAAACTTGCTTAATTAACAACCCGATTATAGGAGCTGCCTGTCTACCCTCTGGTCCCTGACCCTCAGACTTCAAGAGGCAGTTGGTTGCAGACGATTTATTAGGCATTGTTATTAGGAAGGATGGGGAATGGGATATAGATGAGGTGAGTAGATATCAATCGGAAGGAGACTCCCCGCCGGCTTCACGCACTTGATTGGCGTTCCCAATTGATGCTCGCCTCCAACCTATAAAAGTACACTTAAACAAACTAGTATATATTACACCCATATCCAGCGGTTACATTGGCTTTCATCTTGTCCTTGTACGCGTTGGCTGACCCTCAGACTTTGCCAAAGCCCAGTCCCACCTTCTGTCAGAATGTTTTCTACCCAACGTGATACCTTCTTCCATATAGAGAAGTCTTGGAGACGCTACAACCAGTATTGCCAAACCAAGGCTTCTTTTTACTAAATCAAAGTGGCATTTTAAAGTTCCCATCGGATCAGTGCCATGCCGGTCAGTATCGGCATCGGAGAAGTCTGCACGCTACAAATCTCTTTCATAGCTAAAATGCGGAGTCTACCACCATTGAGATTAGGAACAGGGGACAACCCTACCTTAGCATTTGTAAGCACTTAGCAAGCTTGCGCTTGCTCTTGCTCATGTACGTGATTACACTAATCGGAACGTCACTTGTTTCTTGACTGAAACAAACAGGTAATTTGAAATGCGCAAAGTCCTTCCGTCCGCCAACTTAAAACAAAAATAATGTACCATAACAGAGCCTTGAAAGCAACGAACAACTCAACGTAGTTCGCATTTGTGACGAGGAAGGCAAAGATAGCCATGCAAGATCACATACACCACATAGCTGAGTGCACACTGCAGGAAGCAAACTTCCGAACCACACCAGCCTCCAGGCTGAGTGGAAGGCACTAATACCAAGCAGAGGATCAAAACTGGCAGCTCACCAAGCAATATGATCTGCTTGTCAATAACCTGCCCTATGGACTCCAAGTTTCGAAAGTGGGAGTACAGGAGAGAAGTTACAAGAATAATGTACATAGATCGAGGTAGAGGCAATAATAAAGTCGACAATCATACATTCATTGGGAATAGAAGATGAGGTTTCATTGTCTCATTGCCGCACCGGTAGGAGAGGCAGAAAAGTCTTTTGGTTTAGAAGCACAACCTTCCTCCACGTCTGCGTCAAAAGGATTGCGTGCCTTTGTAGTGTGGCAG